CTTAAAAATGCTTTTTATTAAAGTCAGCTTAAAGCAAAAGTAAAAAAAAAAAAAAAACAAAACCAAATTTGAAGTAGACCCGGTATAAAAATTCTGCATAAGAGGTTTGTAGTCGTTTTCAATAAAAAACACACAGGATAAAGTATGATGCTTTTCTTCCTTTCTATGTAAGGTTTGGATACAACTGCCTCCTAGCTACTCCACCTCCAAAGAGCCCCGAGGTTACTGCTCCTGCAATCTCTTTTCTTTTATATCATAGGTGCCTCTTCACGACTTGACTGTGATTTCAAGCCCCAGCTGAGCCTCTGCACTCTCTCCCACATCCAGGGTTTTCTAACTCTGCCTGGTGGGAATGTCCCTGCACAAGGTTCCACCGGCCTCGAAACCTCTGAATCCCCTCCGGCATGTCTGAACGTCTTAATCACCCAGGCAGCAAATACACAGTCAATAACTATGAGTAATCAACTCAACCATTACTAAATTATTCAGCTGGAAGCAAAACAATGCTCCCACCTACTAAGAAAGTGTTTGTATCTTAGAGCGATGCTTTTTCCATGTACTGCCAAGAATAAAATCCCTATAAATTGACAATCCTGTTTTATAGAAAATGGCTCATTGCACGTTGCTAACTGGGCCAGAGATCGCAGCATTCACCCACTCTGGGGTGATAATGGGGTTCGGATGATTTAGCCCCACATGCCATCTGGAGGAGTACCAGGACACCTTTTTTTTTTTTTTTTTTTAAACAATTCCTTGATGCCCCGTTCTCAGATGATTTAAGAAGAAAACCTCATAGCACCTTTCTGCCAAAACAGTTTCAGAGGAAAAAGCCCATTACTTGAAACTAAATTATTTGCCTCGAAACAACTGATGCAGAATGCAATGAATCAAAAGCAGAACAACTGAGGAACATTCCCTAAATTTATGGTGAACAACTGGACTATCTGGTGCTGCCAGTCCTGTATCCTTCAGGGCCGGTTATTCATCCTGGACCCGCAGGGTCCCAGCCTGTGCAGCCCCGGGCCAGCTGGCCATGCCAAGTCTGAAAGTTAAACTTCACATCTAACTAAGAGTCACAGCTTGTCCAGGCTAGGAGCTGGCAGCCCAAGCTCGAGCATCCTGCCCAGCACGCTGGGGTTCGCAGCGCCCGTGGCTCTTGGAGCTGCCTCAACAGGTCTGTTGTGTTCATGAATCCCGAGTGTCCTGTGGCTGGAGTGGTTCAGGTGCCCTGGGAGCACCAGCAGCTGCCGAGTGACAATGACACCCCTGTCAAGTTTATGGCTGCTATTAGCAGTGGTGGAGCTGACAAGCATTTATATACAATTCAGCAACCAGAGGGACGAGAGGGCAGGATGGTGTCCTGGGGAGCAGAGTTAGAGCCTCAAACCTTGTTTTGGGATGTTTCTGAAAACACTTTTTTTTTTTTTTTTTTATTTT